TTATTATTATTATTATTATTATTATTATTATTCCTATCCATAAGTGGAAGTTTTCCATTCTTTATTATGCGTGATGGTCGCTTACTAGGGATGCGGGAAAAAAATCGACAGAGAGCAAACTGGGACCGACTTATGAGACGCATTTTGCATCCGTACACTCAAAAATAAGGCATTACGACGAATCGCATGYACTACCCTTTCCATGGACAGATTTAGGTGTGTGTCAGTGGGGGGTAGGAAGGRGCCGCGATCCCCTATTTTAGTTTGGGATTTATTTATTTTTCTGCTTTAGTTTAAAATTTTCCCAGWACGTAGGGAATAGCATTTCTGGACCCAAAGTCCGCTAAGAATTTCCTTGAGAGTAGTCCCCRGACCTCAACGCTGAACTGATTTTCCCACTCCTTTCTCAGTCGAAATACTACTGGATCGGCCTGGTTTCAGAGTCTAGAAAAAGATCGTCACTAGTGATTTCGGTACCAAATACCGAATCAAATAATCCAGCTGTTTGTAGACCCCTTGTAGCGCTTTGGAATGCAGCGCAATCTGGGGGACAAAACATAGGTGCCAATTCTCAGGAGATTGRAATTTTGTTTTGTCCCCCAGGTCCCCCCTTATTTCATGTCAGACCAACATTRCATTACAAAGTTCAAWTACCACTTAATTTTTTTTCTCATGCTTTTTTTACTTTACTTTTCTGTTATCTGATTGGTCAAATTCTAATTTTCTGCAATTTTATTGGCTCTTCAAAAGAGKGCGATTTAAAACTCAAGATGGTGCGATTTGTAATCGCACGGCTGGGAGCRAACCAGATTGCAGAAATCATTAATGATTTCAAAATGGATATAATTATTGAAAGAACCAGTACTGTGTTGYGTGATAATGTACTGTCTGACTCAGTACTCCTCGACATGTGAGCAAAGTATGCAGGAAAGCCTCCCGATCTCTTTACACATCGCGCAAATTAGGAAATTTCTGCCGACTGTTGAATCTACCACGCTCGTCCATGCGTTTGTGACATCCCATCAGTTCAGTGAGCTAATGTACCTATTRCTGTTGTTTGGAGTTCCACATTATCAGTTTGTAATGTGCTGAGTTATAACTAAAAGATTCCCTAGGTTCTAAATGGCCTAGTGCCCAAAGTACGTTGCGAGCATGCTTGTTTTCAGTGAGGCCAACAAGTCCTACCCAGCGGGGGAGGGAAGGGAACAGACCAGCTTTTGTTTTTTATTCAAATTAAGCAGATCAGTTTAAAATATTATCATTAGATAGCGAAATATTAAATAATGATAAAAACGATTAAGAATGGTAACGACGCACCCCCCCCCCCCCCCCCCCCCCCCCGGCTGGTTAGGACTTTTCTTTTTTCTTGCACTATTCTTCCCTCCCTCCCCCCGCAGCAAATGACTGCGCATCCCCGTGGCTGCAAAAATTGAAAAGGAACTTAAACGAAAAGCAATCTATTTAAGAATCAGATACAGATTTTAGATTTTTGATCGGTTTAGTCATTTGTGAGATATTGAGCTCTGAATAAAGGTTGTTGTGAATTTTCACAGCCGGAGTTGCATATCTTTCCATTTATTTTACACTCGGCAGTGAAGGCAGATTTTCGAACAGCCCAAAACCCCACAACAACCAAATTTCTGACTCAAATCTTAGCACTGAGAGTGTTCCTCGACTATCAAACTATAACTCTTATGACATATTTGTCGACAAAATAGAATCCGAAGCTTTTCTGTAGCATATGTTYGAAGCCTTAGAAATTCTAATTAACATTCATCTCATTATAAATTCATGATCAGTAAACCTTACGTTCTTTACTAACTCTGTTCTTGGGCTACCAATCCAAGCGTTTGTTTTYCACAAAAACTGGCAGTATTGTCATGTTCCCCGCCTCCGAACCCATGAGGAAAGATACCTGAGGAAAGATCAGGATTCATCTGCCCTAAGAAATTTCCTAGGTTTCACACACGTATTATTGGGGAGTGGATTCGGGCAGTTAGGRGGGCTGGATTTGACAAAGTTGAGGTACGTAAGAAACTGGTAGATTCTACTGGTTACATCACTGAAACCATTATGATGATTTATTTTTTATTCTCATTGATATAATATTCTAGGGCATTTACTAAATATTGTAAAGCTCTTTGACATTTAAATGCGTTGCATGCACCTGTTAGTGTCCCCTCTACCAGCTAAAATCTCTAGATAGAGCGTCCTGAATTAAAACTCAACCATTTCATTGTCCTGATTCTAACGCGTATATCTTTATGGAGTTCGATAGTATAGCATGTAGCTATACCATCACGTGCTGCTGTCAGCTGATCTATGGACATTTCCCATCAGCAATCCTTCTGACCAACGTGTCAAGTTGTCGAGAGTCTCTTCCTCTCCATTTCTTGACAAATGCACTGTTATCCAGAATGTACTTGCCAGACTTGTCTCGTCCCATCACCAACAAGATGTCACCCTTTTTGAGTCTTGGACTATTRCACATACCTCTCTTGCGCAATTCGATGACCTGTCGGCTCTTTAGTACGGTATTTCCTTGTTTGATGACTTGTATAACCACCACGTTGTACGTCAGCCAAGTATTTTGTTCATCTACAAGAAGTACCTCGACCTTGATTACTAAAAGAAAGGCAAAAATCAAACAAATTATTCGATATGAAATACCTTTGTTATGYATAGGAATCATGAAACCCCTTAAAGGCCCCTTAAAAACACTAACACTCCAAGCTTACCATAGTTATACAKSCTGCATACTTGTCGAACCAGTTTATTCAAATTACTGATGCTTGGGTTTGGGGCTGTGCATTTATCTGCAAGATATTGATAAAGATGATTCGTTATAAAAAGCACATTTCCTTTTATAAACAAATGCCCATCTTTTGAAKGGAAACATTAATTTCATTGAGTAATGAACATGATTGTACTTGATTTATTTATTCSTTTGTGATATGATACATCTGGTACCTCGTTCAAATAATGCCTAGAGCCATCCGAGGTACCACTCCTAACAGCACTTCCCACTATAATCTCCACGGCTGGACAACACATTATACCCTTTGGTCATACCACTAGTTAAGTGGGCAGCCTTTTTAGTAAGGATTTCATTTTTAACACCTATTTCTCCCATTTTTCTTTCATTTTTTATCATTTTTGATACAGCTCCAAATGCCTTACATTGACTTTGCTATAGTAGACTTTTGAAATTACTTGTTTCGTTTTTGTTTGAAGAGCATCATTAATTACCCACTCAGCTCCACGTATATAATAATGTGTATCAGGCTTTATTCCATTASCTTGAGTACATTTACAAGATTTTCCTTCGCAGCTGCCCATGACAAGGGAAGAATTATCCAAGCTATAAAATTTAATGCAGGCCTCATCGGGTTCGTAGTAGTTGTAGACTTTCACAGGGACAGGATAAACGGCATCAACKGCRATTATGGGCGATACCTTGAGTGCCACGCAAACTTGCCTTGCACTATCAATCTACGAGTTAAAAGTTAATTTCATAAAAGTTATTTTTGTCAAACCCAGTAATTTCCACGGGTGATTCTTGCTTCTATTAAGTAAAGCTGTAGCGGTTTCTTTGAGTGGCGACTTGGCTAGCTCAAGAGGACCATATTAACCAGGGAAAAATAATGATTATTTTCTTTAATTAAAAGCTTTCACCGTGCCTTGAGAARAGTCCACAACTAGGAATAGACTGCAGTGTAATGTTATTTACTTAGTAAACGATGGCAAGGTCTGTATTTAACAATTATTCGCCGAAGGCCAAGTGATTATCGATGAAATATTTACCGAGCCGCAAGTCTTCGAGCGGCAAGGTAAATATTCAGCACTAATTACTTACTCACCTCATCCAAGTAAAACACAATTGATCTTTGAGAAAGTTCGTAATTAGCAATGGTTCCATTTTTCTCCATCTAAACATTAAATTTCTCATTAGTAAATCTGTTTTATGCATGTGGTAAGGATGTTGATTGTGAAAGTTATATTTCACTGCACACTTGCATTGAGTTTTGTTTGGTGTTAGCTTTGTTTGAATTCGGAAATGAAATACAAGTTCAAAAGACTGAAATAAAAGTGCAGATTTCAAATTTTTAGGATTCTGATTGGCTAAAAAACAATAGAAATTGAATTAGCCAATCAGATTATAGCAGTTGCCATAGCAASAGAACAGCCAATTCAAGATRGCGGATTTTCATCTTAAAAATGCATTCAAAACTGCTAAAAAAGTCAAGCTTCATCAGCTGAAAACCAGCAAAAAGGCTGAGAATGGCAAAAGGAGGACTCGCTGCTTGTTATTTGAGAATTAAGAAGGAAAGAAAACATTAGTCGGGCCATTTTACAGCTGTTCAAGGTCACTTGACGCAAAAGTTGAAGCGAGAGACTTTCAGTTGAAACTTGAGGTTGAAATTTCAAGAGCTTTCGCCTACTTTATCCGTAAAGAGGTAAATAATACTTCAGTACAAAGAGAGCAGCTTATTCAACTTTCATTTGGGTGTTTAGGAATTGAAAAAAAGAGGATATTTGATGATTTATGTAAGTTTTGCAGAATTTCTTCGCAATATGCTTGACTTGTTTTCTCAARAAATGTCCGAATATTTGAAGTCTTGAAGATGAAAATGATTTCTAAACATGTTTCTACTTTTTAAAGATCAAAAGTAATCTTTGTTATTCATATTTCTTTCCTGTTTTGTAAATAAAATGTTATTTTGTAAACCGATTTTTGAAAAAAAATAATCGCAAAACAAACGAGTTCTTCGCTTCGTGCATTTTTTTCAACACGTCTTACGCCCTCACGCAATTACGGACTTTTTGAAAAACAAACTCGTGCAAATTAATTCCAAATTGAACTCGAAGCCATCTTATTACCTATACAAATAAACTACATTCCTTCGTTTCCCAGTTCTACCGCGTAATATATTTGCTGACTCTAAAGGAGGATATTTGAAAGTCGGTCATCTAAAATACTCTTTGCCGTTTAAAGGAAATGTAAATGAATGCTTCCCTGGTTTTCAGTATTGCTATGCTTTGTAGCTAGTCCATTAATCAACATTATGCCATGAGAACGCTTTACATTCATGCATACTGTTCGCGACTCCGCTGAATATATTTTCTCCCAACTAGCCGTCAATATTTCGTGGTATTTCGTCTCAAAATCGTAATTTGTTTTGTATCGCGATTCTAAAGAATTTTACACATAAAAAAAGGAAAAACACTAACTTATTTTCGTTGATTAATGGCGCAAGCAACAAGAGTACAAATTTGACGCTCGCGCGCTCAAGGTTTCCTTTTCGTCGTGCGTTAGCCAATCAGAAACCTTAATTTTGAAACGACAATACCACAAAATAATTGTCGTCTCAAAAATATAAGAAACTAATTAGTGAATCGCGATACATATAAGTATGAMGTGTGGCTTTCATGTGCATTATATTACCAGAGGAAGTCTATGCAATGTCTTACCTCTTTCACTGAGTTGATGTCCACTTCGTATCCGGTAAATAACCCAACGTCTATAATAGACATTCCTGTCTTTCCAGGTTTTTTATATCTTAAAGAGAACCATAAAAACATGTGTCACATGCAATTAATAAAATACAAGAAATTGTACTTATTATCAAACATAACWTTTTTTTTCTCATCTCAAATTATACATACACTGAAACAGATTTACATCCARTACAACCGTAGACCAAATGCGAAACCCACCCCAAATGTGAGGCCCAACCCGCGAACACTAGGGTAGCCCATTTCATTACAAGGCTAATATCCATAAAGGCCCATTAATACCTCCCTCCCTCCCCCAATSCATATGTATTCATGTATCCATCGATTCAATCCATGCATCCTTTTCCCAATCCATGCATGCAACCATCCCTCCCTTCCTACATCGATAAATGTGAATGTATATTTGCTTTGAATGCTCGTAACTTACTGTGCGCAAACTCTTATGATGAGGGGTTTTCCTTTGTGCGATTGCTCGTTAGGCTTCTTGTTTTTCTTAGGTTTCTTGTTTTTATTTCCCTTCCTGTTTTTGTTTCCCTTCTTGTTTTTGTTTCCCTTCTTGTTTTTGTTTCCCTTCTTGTTTTTGTTTCCCTTCTTGTTTTTGTTTCCCTTCTTGTTTTTGTTAGACTTCTTGCTTTTCTTAGGCTTCTTGTTTTTGTTAGGCTTATTCCTATTTTTCTTGTTCTTTTTGATGTTCTTCTTGCCTCTTGGTTTTCTTGTGGGTGCAAGTGCTGGAGCATCATTCAGTGGTAATCTTGTCAGTGTTCGTCCATTGCCATCTTCACTTACTGTAACACTCACCATGAAGTCGCACCGATCTTTTCTCGTTGATGGAACATTATACTTCACGTCGACCTGATAAAACAGTAACACCGACTATTTCACAACAATGTATACAATACATTTATATACACTAGAGTCCATGTCACTGACCTGCATTTGTGCAACACCTGWACCAACCGTATCTACAAATATGTCTCCTCCTAAGTATTCAAATATCTGGAATCGTAATATAAAATATAGCTTTATCATTGGACTAATTGTTTTTATTTTATTTAAAACATCTTAATTTTAAAAAAACAGCTCGGACAAACAGTGCAACTGTTGCACGCTAAGCTTTATCAATAAACACTTTAAGATTTGGAAGCTACGACGATGATGCCGTGAATCGGAAGTGTAAATAATTTATGCTCGAGGTTATGTTCATTGGGGATTTCATTCAAACCATTGTCAGTAAAGTCAACTCATGCACATGTTAAGCAAAYTGAAGTTATATACACTTTTGACATCAACGTCGTCTAGTTTTCAAACTTTAAAGTCCCTATTTATAAAGCAGCGCGGGTACCCAAATTTGGACACCGGTTGCCGTGCTGGATGCTGGACACACTTTGCATTTTCGTGATTATGCGCAACATATGAGGACCAGTGTTTTGTCAAGTGTTAATTGGAAATTCAAAGCCCAACATTGGTAGTAAAATAATTTGCATTCAAAATGGTTTATGCATTCAAATTGGTAGTTAAGAGCTCCGGCTCGTCGTGGCATTGATGGACACATGGTGCATTTCCATTATCGAGCCCAACGCA